GTCTTTGCAGATGTAATCAAGTCATGGTGGAGTTATTCTGTATTAGAAAGGGCCCTAATCTACTATAACTGATGTCATTATAAGAATAAGAGAAGGCCGGGCACGGTGGCTCAAGCCCGTAATCCCAGCACTTTGGGAGGCTGAGGCGGGTGGATCACGATGTCAAGAGATCGAGATCATCCTGGTCAACATGGCGAAACCCCATCTCTACTGAAAATACAAAAAATTTAGCTGGGCATGGTGGCATGTGCCTGTAATCCCAGCTACTCGGGAGGCTGAGGCAGGAGAATTGCCTGAACCCAGGAGGCAGAGGTTGCGGTGAGCCAAGATTGTGCCATTGCACTCCAGCCTGGGTAACAAGAGCAAAACTCTGTCTCAAAAAAAAAAAGAGAGAGAAAAGCCAGAGACACACATGGGACAGGAGGAAGCACCATGTGATGATGGAGATAGAATTGAATTTAGCAGCTATAAGCCAGTTTGTTCACCACCACCAAAAGCTAGGAAGAGGCAAGGAATGATTCTTCCCAGAGTCTCAGAGGGAGTATGATCTGGTATTGTATTGATTTTGAAGTTTTATGCTCCAGAAATATGGGAGAATGTATTTTCGTTGTTTTAAGACATCCCAGTTTGTTGTGATTTGGTACAGCAGGTCTGGTAGACTAATAAATTATTTCGTCTCTCTCTTGCTTACTATTTGCATGTCATATCTTAATCCATTCTTTTACTTTGAACCAGTTTGTGTCTTTGAATCTAAAGAAAACTTATCCAATTTATGGCCCGCAGTCTGCATGCAGCCCAGGATGGCTTTGAATGTGTCCCAACACAAATTTGTAAACTTTCTTAAAACATTATGAGATATTTTTTAAATTTTTTATCTCATTAGCTATTATTAATGTATTTTATGTGTGGCCCAAGACAAATCATCTTCTTCCAGTGTGGCCCAGAGAAGCCAAAAGATTAGACAGATTAGATACCCAGGTCTAACATGACAACCCAGGTCTAGACTGTGTAGATTGGTTGTATTTTTTGTTAATCCAATTTGCTAATATGTACCTTTTAATTCCACAGTTTAATCTATGTACATTTAAATCAAATGGCCGCCATTTTGCTTTGTTTTCTACCTATCTTAATATCTTTTATTTTGATCTTTATTTTCTTTGTATTTCCTTCTTTGTGTTGTAGATAAATAGTAGTGTACCACTTTATCTTTACATTTTCTGTATATTTTTTATTTTCTTAGTGGTTACCTGGGGGTTTCATTTAATACTTTAAACCTTATCTAGTTTAAATTAATGCCAATTTAGCTTCAGTATTTAATAAATCTCTGCTCTGTACCATTCTGTGTCTCCTCATTTATGTTAGGTTGCCAATTGTATGTTTTGATGTGAAATGCCCATAACATAAATTTATAATTGCTATTTTATATATTTGTCTCTCAAATCATATAGGGAAAAAAGGAGTTACAGATTAAAAGTACAATAATACTGTTTCATATTTGCCTCTGTAATTGTCTCTACCAGTGTTCTAATTTATGGATTTGAGTGCTCTCTAGTGTCCTTTAATTTTCAGCTTAGAACACTCCTGATAGCATTTTTTAAAGGGTAGATCTGCTAGTGACAAGCTGTTTTTGATTTTCTGGTAATGTCTTAAAGAATAGTTTTGGCAGCTGTAGAATTCTTGCTTGACAATTTTTTTTTCACCCTTTCATTTTTTCATCACTTTGTTATCACACTGCCTTCTGACTTCCATGGTTTCTCATGAGAAATAGGCTGTTAATCTTGTTGAGCATTCCTTGTTGCTGATGAGACGCTTCTGGCCATTTTTTTGCTGTTTTCATGGTTCTTTGTCTTTCTACCAGTTGATAATAATGTGTCTGGGGTGTGGATGTCCTTGATTTATCCTACTTGGAATTAGGTCAACTTCTTGTTTGTGTAGGCTTTTTCCCCCCAACAGTCCTTCAAATATTCTTTCTGTTCATTTTCTTCTCTCCTTCTGCAAATCTTATTATGCATGTGTTGATCTACTTAGCAATTGTCTAAACAATCTCTTAGGCTTTATTTATTTTCCTTTATTTTTTTCTTTATATTCTTCAGACTGGATCAACTCTTTTGACCTATCTTAAAGTTCACTGATTCTTGCTTTTCAAGTCAGTTGTTGAAGGAAATCCTTTAGTGAATTGTTGATTTCAGTTATTACACTTCTCAGCTTCAGAATTGTTTTTCTCTTGTTCCTTTTTTTTTTTTTTGTGACGAAGTTTTACTCTTGTCGCCCATGGTAGAGTGCAGTGGTGTAATCTCAGCTCCTGCAACCTCTGCCTCCTGGATTGAAGGGATTCTTTTGCCTCAGCCTCCCAAGTAGCTGGGATTACAGGCACATGCCACCACAGCCAGCTAATTTTTGTGTTTTTAGTAGAGACGGGGATTCACCATGTTGGCTAGGCTTGTCTTGAACCTCTGCCTTCAGGTGATCTGCCCACCTCAGCCTCCAAAAGTGCTGGGATTACAGGCATGAGACACTGTACCCTGCCTCTCTTGGTTCCTTTTATTGATATTCTGTATTTGTGAGACACATTTCTTCTGATTTCCTTTAGTACTCTGTCAGTGATTTCTTTAGCTCTGATTTTCTTTAGCTCATTAAACTTTTTTTTTAACTTTTATTTTAGATTCAGGAGGTACATGTGCAGGTATGTTACCGGGGCATATTGTAGGATATGAGATTTAGGGTACAAATGATTCCATCACGCAGGTACTGAGCATAGTACCCAATAGTTTTTCAACCCCTCACCCTGTAATCACCAGTTTCTGTTGTTGCCATCTTTATGTCCATGAGTACCTACTTCTGTCTGTGTGGTCTCTAAAGGCTCTGGTCCTTTAGCTTATATTCAGCAAACGATATGACAGAGATTTCCTTAAATGTCTTAGTTCACCTTTTTCTTGATTCATTGCTCACACTTGGATTTTTCTTTCTTCCCTGATTTGTGAGTAAAGCACTCAAATTTTGTTTTGTTTTGTTTTTGAGACGGAGTCTTGCCTCTGTCACCAGGCTGGAGTACAGTGGTGCAGTCTTGGCTCACTGCAACCTCTGCCTCCCGGGTTCAAGCGATTCTTCCACCTCAGCCTCCCAAGTAGCTGGGACTACAGGCACGTGCCACCACACCTGCCTGATTTTTGTATTTTTAGTAGAGACAGGTTTTCACCATGTTGGCCAGGATGGTCTCGATCTCTTGACCTCATGATCTGCCCACCTTGCCTCTCAAAGTGCTGGGATTACAGGCGTCAGCCACTGTGCCCTCACTTGACTTTTATAACCTTTTTTGTCCAGAGTTTCCACAAAGTTGATTCTGACAGTTTTTGTTCATGGTGTGTGTGTATTTCTGTGGAGGGACATTTTTGCTCTCATTCTCTGATGGTTTGTGTGGTTTTTTTTAAGACGATTTTTAGGTTCTGGGAGTGGTAGTATTCAGTAAGATAGGCTATTATGCTTGTTTTTTGTTTTTTTTTTTTAAATCAAATTGGCATTATATATCCAATGAGTAAAATCCATGGTATGAGAAGTTGTGGGTATCCCATCCTTCATCATAAAGAAGAAAAGAACTTTGTTGACGACAGGAGGTTATGGAGTGGGTTCAGAGTCCAACTCAGTACAGTTGGGTTAAGGAAAAAAATGATGTTTCTATTATTAAATGTTGTAATACTTGACAGGTGGTGTTGAATTGTTCTCTTTCAAGAAATTTTTTAAAAGTAGTCATGACCTACATGTAAAAGTCCTTGATTATTAATCTTAAAACCTCATTTCTAAATCTAGATGTCCTTATCTAACCTTGTGATTTTGAATAGGCTTCTTTGGCCTTCTAGATACTTTATGAGTAAAACTTACTGGATTTTACTTAGATTGAATGGTCTTTGAGGTATTTTCACCTGTATTAATGTTTTATTTTTTATTCTATTAAAATAGCTCAGATAGGAGGGTAAAGCAATAATGAATTGAAAAGAAGGCTACAAGAAAATGCACAACTGATTGAATAATTATGGTAGTTTAGAACTATTCTTACTGCTATTTATCTCTGTTTCAAACTAATTTCATTACTTCAGTATATGCTCATGCAACTTTCAAAACAGTCTAAAGCTAAAATATCCTACAGTCACCACATTGCTCCATAATAAACTGTTTTTTAATGTTAAGCAAGAATGTTGCCATACTATATATAGTTTTGTGTCTTTTTTATGCATTTAACAATATCTTTGCTGATAATTCCATATCATTTTTAACATACCTCTATATAGTATTCCATCATAGTTAAGATATCATGGTTTATTTAAGCACTTTACTTTTGACAGAGGGTTAGGTTGTTTCTGTTCTTTATAACAGGTTAGCTGTTATAAACAGTTAACCTCCATGTGCCAGTTTATATTTCTAGGGTATATACTTAAAGGTGAAATTACTACACATAATTTTGGACCTTCCCTAGAAGTACTTAGGAATTTCTTCCCTAGAAGTACTTATAAATTTCTTGTATATCTTTCCAGAAGTGTTATTATAGTATGTAAGAGAGAGATATATCTTATATATATATACAAAAATAATTGATGAAACCAATCCCCCTTTGAATGTTTAGTTTTCTACTTTCTACTACTTAAAAACACTGCTATACATTGGTCCTTTATAAATTTTTATTTTCAGTTTTTGTAGGATAAATTTCTAGTAGTTGAACTTCATGTGGAAAGGTATATATATTTATAATTTTGATGGATATTGTCCAATTGTTCTTCGTGGAGGTTTTTCTAATACCTTATCTGTGTATTAGAGTACCTGTTTTCCCACAGTCTTGCCAATATAGTATGTTGTCAACCATTTTGATCATCCCCAATATGACAGATGAAAAATGGTGTCATGCTGTTGTTTTCATTTGAGTCTCCCTCGTTCTGAGTGGATTGACCTTTTGTTGTTTGTCCTTATTTCTCTTTTCTTTTCTCTTCTTTTCTTTTTTATTTTTGAGACAGAGTCTTGCCTGTTGCGCAGGCTGGAGTGCAGTGGCGCAATCTTGGCTCACTGCAACCTCTGCCTCCCGGGTTCAAGCGATTCTCCTTCCTCAGCCTCTCCAGTAGCTGGGATTACAGGTACACACCATCACACCCACCTAATTTTTGTATTTTTAGTAGAGATAAGGTTTCACCACATTGGACAGGCTGGTCTCGAACTCCTGACCTTGTGATCTGCCCACTTTAGCCTCCCAAGGTGCTGGGATTACAGGCATAAGCCACTGCGCCTGCCCTGTTTCTTCCTATTTTTCTATTGGGCTGTTAGACTTTGTTTATGGTTGATTTTACCATGTGGAAAATGGTTTTTATGTGTATCTTATGACCAGAAATTTTGTTTTATTATTGGGCTTTTCCCATTCTACGTTTATTAAAGAATCTTCTATTGTTAAAATGGGCTCACTTCTAATTTATATAGGTCTAAGTAATTATTCCAGGTATGAAAGCCAGTTTCTGATGTTAACTTTTTATTACTTAAACTGCTCAAGAGAGGATGACCTACCATACTTCATTCACTCTTAAAACATGACGAAATATAGGATAACAATAACAGATTTTGTGTGTCCTCCTGTGTACACAGTGTCTTATAGAACAACTAAAACAGAATAGCACCGGAGCTGGACCTCACCATGCAGTTGCTGTATAGATTAGGTCAAATTTATGATGTGGTCCTAAGAAAAACTCTCAATTAGGATGAAAAGCAGTCCTGTTTAGGAAATCCTCCTTAGTAATTTGTCATGGACTTGTTTGGTTGTAAATAACATCTAGATCTATGGTTCTTTCTTATTGGTGCCTCTTTAATTCTGGTCATCTTTTTGGCACCAAGTAATTAATAAATTTTTTTTTGAAACTTAAATCTAAAAGCTAGAATTCCATGAATCCAATTATTTAAGTGTATTTTGCATAGTTAGCATTGCATTTTTAGAAGATAAGGCAGCATAAAATTACTGCTTTGCAACATGAAGTAATTTCTTTAGCATGATGATATTAAGGATAAGTTTTATTTCATTTTTCTCTCATTTTTTCTATTATTTCAGTAAAACTCTTAGTTTTTTTTCTTTGAAAATATTTAATTTATTCCTAAGTACCTGTATCTACAATTAGATATACAGGGATGGTTATTGGTTAACTGTAAACTTAAAGAGAATGGTTTGTCTTTTTATTTAGATCCCAAGGAAGAAAAAGAGGAAGAAGAAGATTCTGCCCTCCCTCAGGAAGTTTCCATTGCTGCATCTAGACCTAGCCGGGGCTGGCGTAGTAGTAGGACATCTGTTTCTCGCCATCGTGATACAGACAACACTCGAAGCTCTCGGTCCAAGACCGGTTCATTGCAGCTCATCTGCAAGTCAGAACCAAATACAGACCAACTTGATTATGGTATAGTACAACTAGAATATGGCTGTTTACTAACTAGTTGCTGTTTTTTAAATGTAGTGTTGAACATTTGTCTTAACAGCTTAACTGTCAGGGACAGGTATGATGGTGTAGGTAGTTCTTCTTTGAACAATTTGCAGATATTCTACTTTTGTGTAATTACCCCATGCCATAATTTGATTGGCATTTCTTGACTGCAGAGAGAAAATATATCTACACAAATAAAATTTTGTTTTGGCTTTATTTTTCTAGATGTTGGAGAAGAGCATCAGTCTCCAGGTGGCATTAGGTAAAAAAAATTAAGATTTCATTTTTAAACTTTTGGGGACATAGCATAGTCATAGTAAATGATTCAGAAGTTGCTTCCAGTTGAAATGACTCTGAGCTGTAATAGAAAATAACTTGCATTTTTGATACTGCATTTAGATTCTATGTTGATCTTGGTTAGAACTTAAACCATGTAATCTAGTTATACAGCTTAGAAATCATGTCTTGTCTTGAGGTTTGGGCTTATTCCATGGTAGGCACTAATGTGAAATATGGGTGTTTCGGCCAAGGTTTTGAGATTTGATTAGAATCTTCTGTCTTAAGTTCTGATTTATCTGTCAATAGGTCTTTCCATATAGCAGATAACCATGCAATATTACAAAATCAGTTGTTTTTTAACTTTTAATGCCATTGAGCCATTATCCTATCTTTATTTAATAAAGTGATAGTATATCTAGGATTTATATATTTTTAGTTTCAGTTATTATTTTTTATGATAAAGCAGCTAGATTTCAGTCCAGTTAGGTCATTAGGATGAAAATGCTGGACGACTTTCAGTTTTTGGCTACCTCTTAATTACCAAATAAAATCCCCTCAGATATGATCCTTAAAACCAGAATGTCTCATTTCTATTTACTTATTTTTAGTAGCGAAGAGGAAGAGGAGGAGGAGGAAGAGATGTTAATCAGTGAAGAGGAGATACCATTCAAAGATGATCCAAGAGATGAGACCTACAAACCCCACTTAGAAAGGCATGTCTCAGATTTTACTCCAGACACATCAGTGAAATAGAATTAGGAAAGCACTGTTGAATTCTTTTATTTTTTCTGTTGCCAAACTAATGGGTATAGAAGTAATTTTAAATGAGTAATTAATTATGCACTTGTTTTGTAAGTCTAACATCTTACCATATCCCGATATAATCCTCTCTTCCATTTGTAGAACTTTATTTTGATTATATCCAAGTTTTTATGAGTCTGCATCTTTTATCTCAACAGGGTATCATGAATTGCCTGAATACTTAGAATTTTTTAATTATCTCATTTCTCTTTACAATTATAGTGAGATTTGATTTACAGGCATCTTTAGTCTGGAGAGGGTTCATTCCATGAGCATCATATACATATATTTAGATTATTACTATGCATGTGAGGAAAGATTGGTAAGAAATCACATTTCATGAACTGAGGATTGTAGTTTTATAACAGATAAATCATAACTCTAAGCTTTAATTTGTTGTCATAGTCTTCCTTGAAAGGGTCTTTTGTTTAGTGTTGAAATGCATTTTTGTTTTCAGGGAAACCCCAAAGCCACGGAGAAAATCAGGGAAGGTGAAAGAAGAGAAAGAGAAGAAGGAAATTAAAGTGGAAGTAGAGGTGGAGGTGAAAGAAGAGGAGAATGAAATTAGAGAGGATGAGGAACCTCCGAGGAAGTGAGTAGGCAGTTATTAAAAATGGAAATCTAACAGATTTTGAAACCACAAGTGGAAAAAAGGGTGGGAGTGTGCGGAAGGATGTTGACATGCATGCTTCAAAATATGGTTTTTTTTTAACTTAAAAAAAATTTGGCCTCAAGCAGCTGACAGTTTCACTGGAGGAGAGACTCTTAGTAAAAAATGTTTAGGTTTTTTACTAAGAGTAAAAAATAATAATACATTGAGATTTATCTAAGTCTTTCATAGTATTGCATAGTTTATGGAAGGCATATATTTAATCTGTGATGCAGACTGATTTGAAAGTGAAATTAAGAATAAGATCTTGTTTGATTTGCCAGATATGTCTTTGACTTTATGTATTCTTGGTTATCCTTTGCCACTTGTTCTTTGGTCGTGTGTGTGTGTGTGTGTGTGTGTGTGTGTGTGTGTGGTGTGTATGTCTCTTCAGCCAGCCTTCACTCTGTTAAGTTTTGATTCAGGATATGTCTACTATTACTCTGTCTTCAATTATAGGAGAGGAAGAAGACGAAAAGATGACAAAAGTCCACGTTTACCCAAAAGAAGGTGAGGAGTTTTTACCCCTACTGTTTTGCACCTTATTCCAGTACTAGACACTTAACTCACACATTTAGACTTCGTGATAATCCTTCAGGAATGGCTATTTAAAACTTTCACCAAAACTTCACTAATGTCCTTGATGAACAAGTATTATATTCTTATTTTCATTATAAGATCTTGAAATTTCTAAAAATCGTAATAATTTACCTTTTGGGTGTGGTTATTAGTTTATTTGTGTTACTTTTTAATTCTGTCAAATATTTGGTAATTATTGGTTACTTCTAACACAAATTCTATGTAATCTGTATACTAGTTCAGAGATTTTGATGCTTCCTACTGTAAAATAGCTATTCCCTATAGCAGTTTGAGTCAAAGGCCACTGTGTAGAGTGCCACTTTTCTTTTGTTAATTTTTCTTCTGCATTTTGATAATAGAAAAAAGCCTCCAATCCAATATGTCCGTTGTGAGATGGAAGGATGTGGAACTGTCCTTGCTCACCCTCGCTATTTGCAGGTTAGTGAAGTTATGTAAGAGCCTTTCAGGTTGTATCCCATTACTTGTTCTTGCATCACGAGACTTTAATTTGTTGGCTTGTGTAGGCTTTATCATTGACATGTAATGTTAAGAAAAGTCTTTTTAAATGTAAAATGACGTTAACCCATTTACGCCTAGTGTTCTGTTATTAGAACACTAAGCTTGTGCAAGTTATTTATATATTACTGCTCAAGAGCATCACCAAGGTTTGATTTTTCAGAAAAATTATTTGCAACCTCCAGCATAAATGGGTTAATCACTGTTAGTCCATTTGTGCCGCTATAATAAAGTACTGGAGACTGGATAATTTACGAAGAGCCTACATTTATTTATTAGCTTGTGGTTCTGGAGACTAGAAAGTCCCAGAGCATGGTGCCCAGATCTCATAAGGGCCTTTTAACTGTCTGCCCATGGTGGAAGGGCAAGAATGGGTTGAACTTGTTTTTGTAACATCCACTCCAGTGATAATATAAATCCATTTATAAGGGTAGAGCCCTTATGACCTATAGGTCCTACCTTCTAACACTGTCACACTGAGGATTAAGTTTCCAGCACATGAACTGCAGCGAACACATTCAAACTCATAGCACCTTCTGTTTAAAAAAAACAGGTGACTAAGAATCTGAGCCCAGATAGAGGTCTTTTCTTAGAATCTTACAATATTACAATAATTCTCAGTGTAATGTAAATAATTCTGATACGAGATGATTGTAACAGCATGCCAAGACAAGAGTAACAGATTTCATTTTAACGTGATTTAGAAAAAAAGTAAAATTAGAACTCACTGTGATTTTTTGGATTCTGTGTAGAATGAATAAAAGAGTTTTAGTTCAGGTTTTGTTTTTATTTTTCTTGAGTAGATTATTTATTATTATTATTAATGAATTAAAGGTACAGCTTATATTTAGGTCCGGCAGGAAACATGAAAGCGAAATAATGCTTAGGAGATATCTGTTTGATCTTCAGCAGCAAATAAAACATGACACTAGGGCCTTACTTCTGGATTCTGGTTCAGTTACAACAATAGCTGCTCCTCTTTGCTATATGTCATTTGATGCTCTAAAGCACAGTACAATATATGATCTCTTATCACCGTAACAACACTGTGAGAAGTTATTGTTATCTCTGTTTTACAACTGAGAACTGGAGCTTGAAATATTTATCTCCTAAGATCACAAAGGCTAGCGAATGACAGACCCAGATTGGAAACCAGGTCTGTATATGCCCATGGCCTACGTTCTTAGTCATTTTATTATATTCCCACACTATCCATGTGTGAAATCTAAATGTTTGGTTTTCCTTCAGTATTTTTGACTTAGCAAAGACAAGTACTTTGAAAAAGCCTTAATATTTTTTTTTTTTTTGCCCCTTTTTCTTTCTCTGTTTTAGCACCACATTAAATACCAGCATTTGCTGAAGAAGAAATACGTATGTCCCCATCCTTCCTGTGGACGGCTCTTCAGGCTCCAGAAGCAACTTCTGCGACATGCCAAACATCATACAGGTACTTTCCTAAAATGTTTTTGTTAAGTAGGCAATTGCACTGTACTTTAGTTTTATATGTTGGTAATGATAACATTTTTCTAACATAAATCTTAAAAGATTCCATAGTCAAATGTGAGAGAAAGGTATGAAAATAAAATGTAGTAAGACAAATTTTACAAGGGATGGACATACTAGGACTTCTGAATTTTCATCCTTTGACTTCTTGAACTTCTTTGACCAGGATAATGATCTTTTATTGAGCATTTATTCTGTGTCAACTGTGGGCTAAATACTTTATATATGTTATTGCTAATCAGTGTATTCAATACCACTAAATTGGTTTATATTGGTCTTATTTTACAGCTAAGAAACCAGAAGCTTTGCAGGATTAAGTAACCTGTCCATGGTCACATAGCCAGTTTTTAGCAGAAGCAAAATTTTCTGCTGCTATTGAAACTGTAAAGGCTAGCTATTGAATTTGCATGTAGGCTCCCACAGGAACTGTCAAAAAGAGATGCTGAGTACATGCAATATGTATTATAGAATAGACTCAAATTCAGTTTATTTGTAACCACTGACCATCTCTTTGCAGTGTACCTAATAGGAACAAATTGGGTACATACCACTGAGTATGTGCCAGACACTTTATAATTACATAATACCTTCTCAACAATCTTGGAGAGTAAGTCTAGGGATTCTAGTTGTAGAAATATATCTTCTGCCGAAGGTTATACTGATAAATGTATTATCTCCTTCATTTACTGTAGGCAAGTTACTTCTCAACTTTTCATTTTTCCTTCTCTGTGTATTAAGGATATCAGTATCAGTTATTGTAAGGATGAAATGAGATATATAGTGCTATTGACTGCACAGAGCCTGGCAAATGGTAGACTTTTTCACAATACCAGGATTGAACTTGAATCTTAATCACTTGAAAGTCTAGTTTTCTTATACCATGTTTCTTCAGCATTATTTCCACAAGAAACAGTTATTTCTCTTTCTTGATAGGTACTGCAATTTCTGTGTTCCTTCTGCTCCCTGTTAATACTGTTTTACGCCATAGAAAAGTCATTTCTGACAACTGCTTTAGATTGTTGTAGTTAAATATCACAAGCCTATGAAAAACTTCTGTAAATTCAGTCTATTTCAAATATTTATATTTGGTTACCGCAGTTTTACGATGTTAGTTTTCCTTCTGCAAATTAGTATATGCAGACTTTTTTTGCAAATATAATTTATTTTAGCAATAGATGCCCCACCCAGGTTTGTCCTGCTATGGAACTGGAAGTGTGGATGTGACCTGGGAGATGCTAAGAGTTTCCTAAGTTAGAACTGTGCATGTTTAGACCTTGCTATACAAAGTATGGAACACAAACCAAGCAGCATTGACATCAGTTGGGTTCTTTAATATTAGAGATACAGAATCTCAGGCCCTGCTTTGTACCTGCTGAATCAGTATATACATTTAATCATCTATCCAGGTGATCTCTAAGCTGTTTGGAAAAGAGTAGAGGATTAAATTGGATACTGTTCCCCTTGTAACTTAGATTCCTGTTTTCATTCTGATGAATTCCAGTAATTTGAAGCAAAAGGAGTAGAAAATGTAGTGTCATTAATTTAGCAAATATATATATTGAGCACCTCTTTGTCCATGGGCTTCCCAAACAAGTGGCAAAGAAATGAATAGGTACGATGCTCCTTTGCCTCATAGATTCCACACCATGTTAGCATGTTCATCAAAAATCCTGTATAATGGGGTGGAGGGTGTTGTGAGTGACAAAGGGAGGTAGTTGAATGGTGCAGAAGATGGGTAGGAGAATAAGGTAAAGAAGTACAGGTATTATTTACATTTATTTGATAGTAGCATATCCAGTCTTTTGAGTAAAGTTTGTTTATCTTGGGTAACATTTTTTAAACTGGAAACAGGGTATGATTACCTCTGGATCAGTTTCTATACAGTGCCAAGTTCTTGTTTTTTGTTTTTGTTTTGTTTGAATGCCAGATTCTTTCTGTGTAAGCATTCAGTTTTCATGGTCTGTGAAAAAGAAATTGTTTTAAGGAATAAAATATATGGAAAACATAGTTGTTTACTTGCTAAACACTTTGTCCAAAACCTGGATTAGTGGTAAAATTAAGATTAGGATTTCAGTTTTCAGTTTTTACCTAGTTTTTTTTTTTTTTAAACAGGTTCTTATGCTACTGAATGTTTGGATTTTTTTTTTAAAGCAATATTTTTCTTTTTTAAATGTTGTTTACCCAAAGTGTTTGTACATTGAAAGCAGCATTGTTTTTACTCTAAATCACCTGCCGCATCATCTACTTACTTATTGTAATGTAGGGAAAATACTTACAGGGTATCTAAAAAGAACACTAACAACAGTATTTTTCTTCATAGATCAAAGGGATTATATCTGTGAATACTGTGCTCGGGCCTTCAAGAGTTCCCACAATCTCGCAGTGCACCGGATGATTCACACTGGCGAGAAGCCATTACAGTGAGTATTATTTACTGGTGAACATCTGGGTGAGAAGGATATATGTCCTACTTGAAGGTTTGCTGCTTTGCAAACGTTTTAGTTGCTACTGCTGTTAACTTTCATCAAATAAACGAGTTGATGTTGATTGGGGGCATTAGTGGCCCTTTTCTTAATTTTCCTCTATTTTTCAAGCAAGCAGAAGAAAATCAGATGAGTTTTCCATCTAGTAACATTTCCTAATCCTTCAAAAGACGTATGTTACTGATAATTGTATTTATATATGAGCTCTGAATTCTAACCCTGAGTAAGAGCAGTCTTTCTCTATTGTATCAGCCATTTCTTTTTCTACTCTTCTTAGATGTGAGATCTGTGGATTTACTTGTCGACAAAAGGCATCTCTTAATTGGCACATGAAGAAGCATGATGCAGACTCCTTCTACCAGTTTTCTTGCAATATCTGTGGCAAAAAATTTGAGAAGAAGGACAGCGTAGTGGCACACAAAGCAAAAAGCCACCCTGAGGTGCTGATTGCAGAAGCTCTGGCTGCCAATGCAGGCGCCCTTATCACCAGCACAGATATCTTGGGCACTAACCCAGAGTCCCTGACGCAGGCTTCAGATGGTCAGGGTCTTCCTCTTCTTCCTGAGCCCTTGGGAAACTCAACCTCTGGAGAGTGCCTACTGCTAGAAGCTGAAGGGATGTCAAAATCATACTGCAGTGGGACAGAACGGGTGAGCCTGATGGCTGATGGGAAGATCTTTGTGGGAAGCGGCAGCAGTGGGGGCACTGAAGGGCTGGTCATGAACTCAGACATACTCGGTGCTACCACAGAGGTTCTGATTGAAGATTCAGACTCTACCGGACCTTAGTGGAAAGGAAGACTTTGGGCATGGAACAGCTCAGACTTTGTATTTAAAAGTTAAAAAGGACAAAAAAAATCTAAAGCATTTAAAATCTAGTAAAATAACCGAAGGGCCTGCTCTTTCCATTGTGGATCACAGCACACACATACATACACCCTCCAACCCCCATTCCCCATTCTCCCTCTATTGCCCCCCTTATAAAATTGATGTTGTCTTTACCAGAAAGGTAGACAAAAAAGAAGCAGCAGCAGCTCTTAAAGTGAGGGTTATTCTCATACTCAGTTCCAGCCATCAGCAGACTTCCTGCTTTTTGGCAGATCCCCCTTCCAACCTGTAACTCTGATGTGCTCTGGATCAGCTTTTAATAGTATATTACTGTCTTCTAAATCCCTTCTTCTCTACTGCTGCCCTGTGGTTCTGGCTCCTTCCCATTGCGGCACACATTTTCAAATACCATAGAATTCTAATCTCCAGAGGCTGGCAGCTTGACTTGGCACTTTAGGGCCCCTTAGCAGGGTGAGCTGTTAAAACAGCACACATCTCTCATCCCCTCTTCCTTTTACCCCACTGGGTTTCAGAAAGGAAGGATATATGGGGACCACCTCTCTCCTCTTTGATCCCAGCATCTCAGTCCCCCCTCCCAACCCTCCATATGGCTCTCAATGGTGCTCACTTGCTGGAACCAGGCTCCCAGTAGGGAGGGGGCTGCCCTCTACACAGTCTCTTTGACTGTAAGACAGGGCTCTGTATCAGTGAGACGATGAGAAAAGTCCCAGGCTAATGGCGGAAATTTGCACTTTGAACATGTGTGTTTTTGTGTTGTGGAACCTGAGATTCCTTATTTATTAACAGAAAGTCTGATTTTTTTTTTTTTTTTTTTGAGTCTTCGTTGCTATATTTTGTGGGGCTGGGAGAGAGAGAGATTAGATTATTTTGACATGGGAATCCCTTCCATAACAGGTACTTTGAAGGCAAGACATAGGGTTGAAGAAGCACAGCCAGCCTCTGAAATCATAGCTCTCCAGTGGCCTTTAAAGAAAGCTGGTCCTCAGCACTAACAAAATCACTACAATAGCCTAGTGCTTTTTTGGAAGCCTTTTTAGAGAAGAATGTTAGGTTGTGGTAACTAGTATGCTCTGAGATATTTAGAGCATTGAGACTTAGGAATTTCTAGAGGACGAGGAGAGTTGTTCAGAATCTAAATTACAGATAGAAGATTCTTGTGAATTTGTTTCTTTTGTTATCCCTACCATTTCTTTATATTTCCCTCGTTGGCCCAACTCTGGCTCCTTGCTTTTTGTTTTTTTGCTCTGCTTTATCATCAGTTCATTCCAGCCCCTATTAGTGAAGGACACTACTGTTAGTGAAGGAACAAAGCCTGTGAGTCCTAAAGTTTTAAATCAGAGAAAACTGCTGTTTCCCTTTCAGTAACACTTCAGAAGAGGAAAAATATTAATAGCCAAAGTTAATACTTCTATATAATAACTGCTTTGGCTTTCACCTAAAATTCTGGGAATCATTATTTCCTTGGGATAGAGGTTTTCTTGGGGCATGGATTGTTTATTGCTGTTCGCTGGAGAGAAAATCTAATGTTTTTGTACAAAGTCATACCCCCAGAAGCCCAAAATCCTATTTTGGCTCATTTTTAGGTAAAGGGCAGTTCCTATCCTGTGTGCCTCAGAAGCTGGAATTGAAGGCACCCTGTTCATTGTTCGTTGTCAGAAATGTATGATGGCTATTGGAAAGAATGAGGTTTTGCTGGGAGGTGGGGGGGAAAGAACAGCTTGTTTTTCACAAACGTGGTTTATCAATTTTTTTTAAATACTTTTTTCCCAAAAAGAGGATTAACAAAATGTCATTTCTGAAAGAGGCTTACTTTACACCCACTAGTGTCGGCAGTTGGGATGCCAGGAAGTAGGGAGTGAGACACCTACAATCAACAGTCTCAAATGCACTATTGTTTCTTTTCAGAGTGTTGCAGATTTGCCATTTCTCCAATATGGGGATAGAAAACGGAATAAAGATAGAAGGGATGTAGAATATGCTTACCTGCCAACAGTAAGGGTTTGGAGTTGACTTTGGTATATTGAGTAGATTTGAAAATACAAGATGGATTGGATGAGTCTACAAAAATGTCCTGATCTCCAATCCCTTTTATACTGTTTGACTAGCTAGCATTTATAGTCCACTCTTAGCCTTTTTCTTTGCCGCACTTATCCTTTGTCTCCTTAAGTTTCATTTGCAGTGGTTAGTCATCAGATATTTTAGCCACCTACACAAAAGCAAACTGCATTTTTTAAGATCTTTCTGAGATGGGAGAAAATGTATTCTTTCCTATACCATTCTCCCCTCCCCACACAAAAAAACTAGTTCTACTAATTAGAAACTTGCTGTTACTTTCCCTTTTCTTTTAGGGGACAAGGGCCCTCTTCATAGCTGCCATTTGCGTACAATGAATTATTGCAGCCATTTGCAATACTAAACTATTTTTTATGGACTTTATATTTTTCCTCTTGATAAAGGGATGCTACATAGTAAAGAGTTGGTGTCATTAAACTATCTCAGCCGTTTTCCTGCTTTCCTTTCTGCTCCATATGCCTCATTGTCCTTCCAAGGAGCTCTTTTCATCTTAAAGTTCTACATTTCATACTTTTACTCAAATTTTGTTACCTTTTTAACTCTCCCCATTGCATATTTCCATCTTGAATTGGCAGTTCTAATAAATTCTGAAACTGTAGTTGAGATAAAAACTATTTAATATTTTTGGGGATGTCTACCCTCTTGTTTGTGGTTGCCCAGGGTTCTTTTGCATAATTGAGACTCCTTGATATGCTTCAGAGAGTTTCAGCAAACACTGGCCATTGCCATGGGAGTACTGGGAGTAAAATAAAAATATTAAGGTATAGAAAAGCATCCACGTAGAGCACTTAAACCTCCTTTGTACCTGTTTGGGGAAAAAGTATAGAGTATACTATCAGTCTAACTAAGGTTATTATAGTCTGGTTGTTTGAAATACCATTTTTTTCTCCTTTTGTGTTTTTCCCACTTTCCAATGTACTCAAGAAAATTGAACAAATGTAATGGATCAATTTAAAATATTTTATTTCCTAAAAGCCTTTTTTGCCTGTTGTAATGTGCAGGACCCTTCTCCTTTCATGGGAGAGACAGGTAGTTACCTGAATATAGGTTGAAAAGGTTATGTAAAAAGAAATTATAATAAAAGGGATACTTTGCTTTTCAAATCTTTGTTTTCTTTTAATCTAGGTAAGGTATATTAAAAATAAATATGTAAAGAAGAAAAATAAAAGTGGTCTTCATGGAAGCAACTTGTCTTCCTTGGTTGTACTGAGTTATAGTTATCTTAGGGGTGAAACATGTGACGCTGCTAAGCAAACCAAATGCTCTCAGAACAAGGTGTTATGTGGGGCATACTATTGTTTGCTTTTGTTGAGAATCAGGTGGTTAATGTTTTACTGTTTAGTTCTTGATTTAAAATGCTGAAATGACATATACGATTCTGTTATCATTCAGTAAACTTGGAAATCTTGCTGTTTTTTTGACAACTGCCTTCTAGGAAAAGTGGTCATACTAACCTACTATATGTAACATTAAGGATTCTGTGAGGTTAATTTTATCCTGATAGTGACAAAGCCTTGATAGCATTTGTTATCAGTACTTTTTCTCAAAACTGAATGTATCAAGTACTGATTTTTTTAAAAAAAGAAAAAACTATGATCCTTCTGCCTTCTTAGAAGTCCTACTGTAACTGCTGCCCAGGCCGCTCTCTCACATCTCCCATTTATTGTTTACTTTTGTAAATTTGCTTCTAAGATGGCATATGTTTCAGCTTTATTGGCAATATCTATGATATAAATGATGAAAGCTAATTCATTCATTTAGGAATGAAACTTTCAGCCCTTACCCAATAAGTGTCATTATCCAAGTTAAATGCAGTATAGACTGGCAGCTCTCCAAATACCTTTAACTCTTTTATCGTCATTTCAAAGCCCAGCTCGTTCTCTTATTTTAAGAACCATGTGATATGACTGGGTAGAGAAGAAAAAAGGAAAGCATGTTGTCACTTAAGGTAGACTGCTTTAGAAATGTTACCAAGTTAGCATTGGGTGTTTCCTGTCCTTTGGAAGAGAACAGGCCTAAACAGTACCTTCCTCCTATGTAGCTAACAGGAAGGCACCGTGATTGAAATTAGAGATGCTCCTTTGCTTGATTTTTAAGTATAAATTAAATTACCTTTAAAAAATACTTAAGGATGGCCATGAAAAAATGCTGTATTTTTAAAGGACTTATTTCACACAACCTTTGTTTCTTGAACGAAATGTGAACTACCTATACAGAAAATAAAGTTGGAAAGTCAGTGGGAGAAACAACTGTAGAATCAAAGGCTTCCATTTAAATTCAAACCTCGTTGTTGGATTTTGTGCATGTTATTTCTTGAAGTTTCAGTTTCTTATATGGGAGAAATGGCATTTACCTCAGAATTACTCTGAAGATCAAATGGGATTGCTTTAAAGCATTTAGCACAGTGTCTGACCCATGGTAGATGCTTAGTAAATGACAGCTATATCAATAATAATAACAATTTTATTGAATGAGAACCCTTCGCCAGCCTACAAAAAAAGGACATGGGGAGGATAAGGAAGGGTGATAAAATTAACTGATTCTAAGTGTGTATGAGATAGATTACATTAGGCAGGGGTGCCACGAGGATTATTATGATAGTGACCTTGTTGCTAAGTGCAAAAGCAAAACAGTGACATAGAAACAAGTGTGCTAAGTACTGAGTGGAGGAGAGAGATGGAGGCAGACGCTGCGGGGGAAAAAAAAGACTGATTAAAAAGGGCCCTTTGATTACACAGGCACAAAAATTCCACAGCCAGGAATTTGCTACCACCTCTGAGTCAGGCCCACATGGGGGTGGGGTGCACAATCCCATTAGTGGAGAATGCCTAGTGGGTTTAGTCTGTGAGAGTCACATTTCTTATTTGGACCAGTGTAGACAGAAGTAAACCCAGCTCACTTGTTTCCTGGGACAGTTGAATTAGGGGATGGCTTTTGCAGAGCATTCACCGCTGGCCCCTCACCGTCGGGACCTCTGTAGCCGCTCTATCTGGCTAGCAAGGAAGATTCGTTCAGACCTGACTGCTCTTACGGAATCTTACGTAAGTTGCCTGTTTTGCTGTTGTCTGTTTTCTCTTCATATTTTCTGATCCAGCAACTTACCTTCATGTGGCAGCTCCATTACCAGTTGTGAAAGCTCTCATCATGTAGTCATTCATACAGGTTATTTGACATGGGCCCTTTCCTTGAGGAAACCCATGTGACCTTATTTTCTTTTTCCAGGCTGTTTAGGAGATATGTTACTTGAATGAGAAAATATATATGGAGTTCTAGATAGAATTGGCTTATATATCTTGGAAGCTATTCCAAATTTGTTTGCATGTGTTCTGAATACTACTAGAACAGATTAGCCATGTGCCCTCTTGAGTTTGGGTTCTTTGTAGCCATTGTTCTGAATTTTTTAGCTATGCAAATGAAAAGTTTATAGGATAGGGAGGAAGAGTACTATGAACTTGGGGGAATTGCTAAATCCTACCAATTTCTCCTATGTAGCCACCTACCTTTTAGTATTCTGCATCAAAAGTAGAGTATGTCTAAAGAGAAAAGTAAGCTATCAAAAAGATCTAGAAGATTCATTGGAGACTTGTGGAAGTATTGAATTCTTGAGCTAACTGTGGAGTTCCGGGTTGATCTAATAGTAGGGAGATCCCCATCAGTCTCTACTTAAGATCTGCTGTGGAAATACTCCAGCCCCTGTGGAGAGTTCTGAATTTAGGCTCTCTAAGAACTGATTCATCTTTGTGTAGCCTAACCAGACAGAAATCAAACTCTTTGGGAGTGCACAGTGGGGAGAAGGAAGTTAGATAAATTCTACAATGGCTATATTCAGGGCTTCCAAGTCATGGCCGGTGTCTACAAGTATGTTTAAAAATACTTTAATATGATTAAAATATTTCCGTTTCCAAGAGAGTTTGAAGTGAGAAGGAAATATTCTTCTAAATCGGTAGTTTTCAACCATTAGAACTTAGTGAAATCTGAACATTCTTCCAAGAAAAATGCATAGGTACTCAATTTCAGGGAGTATTGGGTCTTTCTAAAGCCCAGTCACGGAGCCCAAATTAGAGTTCCTACTGTAGGCATATTATTTACTTTACAACTTGGATCCTTGGCCAGAGAGGTGAGTGAGATTTTGTATGAAATTTAGGAGTGATTTAAGGACATTGGGTTGATTACAGAAGTTGTGGTATTTTCCTGTATCCTCGGCCAGGTGAAGCATCAGGGCCTGGATAAGAACATCAACCTGAATTCTATGGATGGGGTGCCAATGGCAAGCACTGATCGGTGGAGTGAGCTGACCGAGGCAGAGCGACTCCAAGAGAATCTTCAAGCTTATCGTGCCTTCCATGTTTTGTTGGCCAGGCTTTTAGAAGACCAGCAGGTGCATTTTACCCCAACTGAAGGTGACTTCCATCAAGCTATACATAGCCTTCTTCTCCAAGTTGCTGCCTTTGCTTACCAGATAGAGGAGTTAATGGTACTCCTGGAATACAAGATTCCCCCCAGTGAGGCTGATGGGATGCCTGTTGGTGTTGGAGATGGTGGTCTCTTTGAGAAGAAGCTATGGGGCCTAAAGGTGCTGCAGGAGCTTTCACAGTGGACAGTGAGGTCTATCCATGACCTTCGTGTCATTTCTTCTCATCAGACTGGGATCCCAGCACATGGGAGCCATTATATTGCTAAGGAGAAGAAAATGTAGCAGTTGGTCCCTTCTGTCTTCCTTGCTTTCTTTTCTAATGGAATATACATAGTTCCCTGGGGCCTCACTTTCCCATCTCAAATTTCTGAAAATGATTAAGACTACAGGCATTTTTTTTCTTTTTCCCTGACCACCTGTAGCCTGTTGAAGGACTGCAGGCATTTTCATTAAGTAGGGTTGGAGACACACACAAGTTTAGTCTGGGGTGGGTGTGTGTACATGCTGTAGGTGTAAGAGGGTGGGAGCAGGGATAACGTCCTTCCACTTAAGGATTCTAACCTAACACTAAGTAACCACTGCAGACATTTAACAGCCTTACAGATAGAATATACATATGTTAATTCTGTTCTGGATGGCTCGTCTGAGAAGACTCAATTTAAAATCAGACTCTTTAGCCAATTTAAACGCTTAAATAATAAAAATAATAGCTAACTTTACTATATTGAGGCAATATGCCAAGGGTCTTTATTATGTACAGGTTTTACAACCTTGTGAGCAAGTTGGTGGTACTCCCATTTGGAAGATGAGAAAACAGGCTCACAGAGATTTGGTCAAGCTCACCCAGCTAACAAGTGACGCACTAAGTTTGAACACAGATCATTCTCCTTGTAAAGCCTCTGTGTCTTTCACTTTAGAGGCTTGATTATGAATCACTACACCTCTTTGTCACAGTATATTGGAAGATGCATCCATGTAATCTATTCCCATTGCTGGAAAACAGCTGCCATTACATGTCCTCAGAAGTCAGTTGCAAATTTTAGCGTTAAAGCCAGGATTTGTTGTTCATACTTGGCAGTGAAGAGGGCAGCTGGAGATCTTAAGATTCCACTTTGGAAAATGATTAGGCCCACCAAATTTCTGAACCTTGGAAGCTGGGGCTGTATAGTAGTACAGCTTGGTTTTAAAGTGCCCACTAAGTGTTCTTGAATATTGGGTTAGGCAACGGCTTATACCAGGTTATCTCACTTTTACTATAATTAGTAATGCAGGCAGTGTAACCCAAGCATTTATGGACATTGAGTGGAATCCTACTCAAGTTAAGTCACCGAATTTTCACCTCAAATTTTCTGGACTTAGTCATGAGGAGAGGGTGAGGCCAACTCTGTTTCTACTGGAGATGCCAGAGACTCTGAAACTGTACAACAAAGCCTCTGTGCTGCACAACAAAGACTCAGGCTCTGCTTTTAATTTCTTGTAAGAACCACATATAGTGTGAAAGGTTGTTAAATGTGGCTGTGTACCTGGTGGTATAATGTGAATCCAAACATTTTCAAGTGTGTCATTTATTTTATACTTATCGATTAAAACTCAAGATCATGGATTGGGGGCCCAAGTTCGTTTATTTAATTGAGGCTTCTGTTTTCTTAAATGAACCATGAGTCAGGACTAGCTCCCTTAGGTTTCATGAAGGGATGGGTAACTTGGCTTGTATCCTTACATGGTGTGTGTACAAACTCCACGAAGTAACTATTACCAGTACTCTGGGCTAGGCATTGTGACAGTTCAGGGAAAGTGAGGCTCTGCTTTCTAGTACGCATTTTGGAAATATGATTGTATGTGTGTATACATACATGTACACTGTTACTATAATCAGTGATGCAGACAGAGTAACCCAAGCATTTGTGGACAGTGAGTGGAATACTACTCAAGTTAAAAAGTCACAGAACTCCTTCACCTCACATTCTCTGGAGTAAGTCATGAGGAGAGGGTGAGGCCCACTCTCTTCTCACTGGAGATGCCAGAGATTCTGTGTACGCACACACAAACACACACACACTTGTAAGTCCCAGGTTTGTTAGGAAGTTAAAGGAAGAAAATTAATGGGGGCCCAAAGCAGTTTCCTGGAGGAGGTAGGAATTACGTCTCAATACAAAACTACAAAATACTCTCTACTGGTTGGGTACAAAATAAAAGTCATGAGATAAGGGAAGAGTTGATCGTTTGTAATTTGGGTACAGGTATATAGTTCCCCACTGAATGTATAGTCTTATTCCATTCAAGCTTTGTCTTAATCATTTCTTCTGCTTAACAGCAGCATTCTCAAATAAAGTTTCTGCTTATTAATATGAAACTCTTAGAGCTATCTGGAGTACTTTATTCAATGGAGAAATTTGTCTAAAACTTCTTAATGGGAAATAACTGATTATAAACTTGCAGGATCTAAAATTACTCCATCAATTATGCAGGTAAAAGTACATTTTGAAATTTTTTAAATAAAAAATAAAAAGATGTTGCCCCCATACTCCCTCCACTAAAAAAAAGTTTTTGAAAAAGAAGTGTCCCCTCTCCAAGTGTTTAATGTTCAGCAGGTATACCAGCAGACATCTGCAGACATTTTAGAACTCAGTGGAGCTTGGCTTAAGCTCTCATGAGTTGCATATGAAGGAATATATATGTGTAAAAGGTGGATTTGAAGTGGCAGAGGGTCCAGAAAAGGCACAAGTACTGACCACTGGATTGGAGGAGATAGAAAAAATGTGTAAGTCACAATTAAGTCACAGAATCACCACGTCTTTACCAAGTGCATTCTCAGCACTTTGCAAAAAATCTGTGTATTTGTCTCTGAAGAAGCATACAATATGCACCCAAAAGAAGTGTGAGGAAAGCTCTTGGGTAAAGGGGAGACGAGCAGTAGGCCGGGCAACAAAAATCAGCATATATGAGATCTGAATGTGTAGACATTGCATTATGTTTCCTTGAAATGGATAAATCAAATAGAATGAGGGACTTACAGTGGATTATTATTCTAGGTGTGTGCCTTATAGTACAGAAGAGGATAATGATGACACCATGGAATTATGTTTTTTTAAGGATATAGAACCCCAAGATTTTGTTCATTAGGTTTTATTCTCTTGGTTCTTAGATCTGCTTATAGATAAGATCTCTGGGAAGTTTTGTATGGTAAAACTATATATATTGAGTTATAGTTTAAGGTACATAGATTTAGTTTCTAGCTCTAACTCATTTTGTAAAAACAATTACTTCCATCTATTTTCAGAGAGGACCTTCTAAAAAGTCGTCTCTGGGTAGAGAGATTCCATTTTCCTGAGTCAAGGAATTGCACAGATGAGAATTGATAAATTTTTCTTGCATTCATGTACGAGAGTGATTTGGAAAATGCTTGCAAATTAGCACAACTTGAAGGCCAATCGCGGAATAAAATTAGCATAAAGATAATCAGGTTTAAGTGACGTGAGAGTTTTAATACAAATGGAAAGTATAAAGTCATAGCTCTGGTATTGCTGTTATTTCAGGCTGCTGTGGATTAATGCCCAAAGGATGACTCATTGTTGTGATCACTTGTCAGACAGGGAGAGGACTAGTAAATATTTCAGGAATACATATCTAAAAAGTTATTTAGATTGAATTTTGTTTGTGAAACCTCAGCTCTTCATGAGATACCTGAGCATCTCTGTTAAGGGGTGAAATAGAGACACAGGAAGCAGAAAGACCTCCACCGGGATGTAAAGGAGATTGGTAAAGAGGAAATAAGGGAAGAAGTATAATTTGGATTTCACTTCAGTTGATTTCTCTGTCTTTCAAGGCGTGTGTGTGCGTGTATGTGTGATACTAATGTCGTGTTTAGGTCAGGACATTCCTTGAAAAGAATGGTTTGGCCTCCTGCCTCATCTCACTTCCACTGCAAGCATCAGACCCACCCAAGAATGAGCTCTCTGAATGTGGGTGCATTCAAAAAGCGAAGAGTGATAAAAACTTTATTTCTTGGCTTCCGTTGAGCTCTGAGGACCACAGATAAAGACAGAATAAGATAATTTGATAGTTTGATGAAATGTCTGGGTGTGAGATAAAATCCATGTGCTTATGATTTTTAACATAGAAGATATTGTTTGTATCAATCTGGTTTCAACACATAGAAAATAAAAGATGCAAGAATGGCTAGCAATAAAGTTCTTTTCTCAGCAATACCATGAGTTATTTCTTTTCTGTATCTTTGGGTGAATGAGGGGAATTTCAAGTGATTTCAGTATTGGATGAAACGTAATCCTCCCAGCCAGGGCCAGGCCTAATCAAGCATGCTAAGTAAACCTCCATGCCAGGCCACTCACGCTGGGCAAAACTCCCAGGGCCAGTCAGCCTAGAAAAGGTAGATTGCCTCTGTAACACCAGGCCAATATTCTGCCCTCTGAATATGTAGTCCTCCTATCAGCTAGACTGCAGATGAGAAAGATTTCCTTTTACATGGTTTAATTTCAAGTAGTTGACTCCTCTACCCCCAGTTAAGCCTTTGACTGAAAGAGAAGAACCCTGACTAGCCCATTTCTAGTCAGGTTGGAGGTAGAAACCAAATTAAAAATCACATAGAGGAAAATGTGAAACAGTTACTGAGAGATTCTTTATTTCTATCCACATGTTCAAGGTAGTATGAAAGGGAATAATGTACCATGTCAGGCAGCTTGGCACTATTTTATATTATTTAATACTCTGGCATATTATCTCTTAGATGTGGAAAATGAGAATGAGCATTAACTTGCCCACATTTCCTCCTCTAGCATATGACAGGCCTAAGGCTCACTCCGCTACATCCTGTGCCATAGGAATTGAGATCCTCTTATTCTGAAATCCATTCTCTCTCTCTAACCCACTTCTTAGATAAAGCCCGTACAGACTTGCACCAAGTTTTGCCCTGTAGCGAAGTCTATTTAAATTTCTAAACTTTGAGAAAAGCCCTTTTTTCTGAGCTTCCTCATTTATGAAATGAAAATGATGAAAACTAGCTAACTATATGGATTGTTATAGACAAATCGAGCAACAGAAATTACTTGTAACTGACCTACAGACATTACGAAGTATATTTAATGCCTCAAGTAACTTGAATTCACAGAATGGATTGAGAAGCAAGCTCTGTAAGTATCTCAGAGACCACCTGCTTACTGGCCACAGCCTAGACTTCACCCTATTGTGCCTATTGGCCTTTGGCCACTGGAGGCTGACCCAGTCTCACAGCCTCCAGGAATCATCCACCTCTCTGGAGAGTTGGCAGTTCACCCAGGAGGCAGCTTTCACAGTAGGCGGGTCAGACAAGTCCTGGAGAAGCCTGGCAGGTTCCAGAGGGAGCCAAGAAAACGTGCAAGCTAAGGAGCTGCCCAGGATACATTAAAGCATGCATTTAGACTTAAAATCATCCCACCATATGCCTATACCCTCCTCTTAATTCCAGAAGGAACTCGGACTTCATTTAGTTCAATCCCTTCATTAAACACAGCATAAAGAAGCCAAGAGGTTCAGCAATTTGCCCTGGCATCCCAGCTAGGAAGTGGAAGAATGAGACCTACAGTCCTCGGATTCCCTACTGTACTTTCCAGCTTCTCCATCAAACCAACCTAATTTTAGGAAAACATCTAAGTCTTTCTTGCTGTCTTGTATGCAGCGCCCTCTAGCTCCCTCATCTCTAATAATACTTCAGCTTTAGGAACAGCAACTAATGACCCGGACTTCTTTTGCCACTCCAACTCCCACCTCTACTGTACTTTGAGGGCGCAATATTTCATCCCTCCCCTGATATGATGGGGAAAAGATTTGGCCCATTCTGAGGGATGCATTCTGAGGTAATGACTAAATATGTTACTCCTTTCAGGGTGTCATTTGAACAAGGAACTCAGGGAAGCTTTTTAAAAAGGACATTCTGAAGCAGGTGTCTTCATGTCAGATCAACCCTTATTCCACAGGTAAGGTAAAGACTTGGGACTAATTTCTCTTCTCTTAATCCCTGACTCCTGTCTCCAAAGCTTGGGATGGAGTTAGGTTTGGAGATTACACAAATGATACATTTTGGCTGTGTCCCTACCCAAAATCTTATCTTGAATGTAATCCCCACAATCTTCACATTTCAAGGGAGAGACCAGGTGGAGGTAATTGAATCATGGGGGCTCATGCTGTTCTCATGATAGTTCTCACGAGATCTGATGGTTTTGTGTTTGGTAGTTCCTACTGTGTTCATTCTCCTTCCTGCTACCTTGTAAAGAAGGTGCCTGCTTCTCTTTCATCTTCCACCATGATTGTAAGTTTCCTGAGACCTCCTTAGCCATATGAAACTATGAGTCAATTAAACTTATTTATTTATTTAATTTTTTTTTGAGACGGAGTTTCACTCTTGTTACCCAGGCTGGAGTGCAATGGTGCAATCTCGGCTCACCACAACCTCCGCCTCCTGGGTTCAGGCAATTCTCCTGCCTCAGCCTCCTGAGTAGCTCCTGAGTAGCTGGGATTACAGGCATGCGCCACCATGCCCAGCTAATTTTTTGTATTTTTAATAGAGACAGGGTTTCACCATGTTGACCAGGATGATCTCGATCTCTTGACCTCGTGATCCACCCGCCTCGGCCTCCCAAAGTGCTGGGATTACAGGCGTGAGCCACCGTGCCCGGCCCCTAAACTTTATAAATTACCCAGTCTCAGCATAATACAATGGACTAGTACAACAAATGAGAGGACACTGAAAAAAAAAGCCAATATTCCCAGCATCCTAACCAGTAAAGATCTAGGTGCAAGGGGAGCAGAACTTGGAATGGGAGATTTAATTTTCTATGGTGTTCTCATTGGTAAAGTGTTAGCAACAGCCAGTGTGAACACACTGGAACACAAGCATCGCCTGTTCTGTAGGCATTGTTGGTGTGTGTCTTACATTTTATTCTACCATTTTCAAGGAAGCTTTGCCATTTTCCTTTTCTTTCATTGTTAAGAGTTTACATTTCCCCTGATATCTGAATGATGAAAAGGAGCTAGCCATGAGTGGATCTAAGCAGGGGAAAGGTAATGTTAAGTGCACAGCCCCAAGGCAGGAATGAACTTCCTATCTTCAAGGAACTGAAGGAAGGCCAAGGTGGTCAAAGACAGGTTAGTCAGGTGAGCAGGGGGAACAATGCCTGTGCTAAGGTCCTTGAGCCAAATATTAGAAAAAACACACCAGTTGTTAAACAATTGGGTTTATTACTTGTTGTAAACAGAAGAATGCACACCTTGGGAAACACAGAAGTGTCTCAGTAAGACTGTGTTGGAACCTATGCTATTTTGGCTTTGGTCAGGTGATTCAGGGTGGCTCTAAGAAAGCAG